TATGGCAGCATTGATTTAAAGAGTGCTTTACTAACATTGTCAGATGACATCAACTTGTGGCTTTAATACAAACGTTTGAGAGGACATCTAAATGTAATTGCGTGTATTTGCGAAGGGTATTATTGTTATATCTCAGTTTCGTTCTATCGATTTAGTCAACCTGATTGAAAGACAAGCAACAATATCAGTTAAATTGTACAAGCAGGAATAAAGAAAGATCTTGTTCAGTAAACCAAGAACTATAGTTTCTAGGTTTCCGTATGCTAATAATCGTTATCGCACAGGCCAAAATCAACAGATGTCGCTTTTGTTGTTTTGCTTTCAGCTGAAGGTGTCTATGTCGATGTTTTGTTCCCCGTTTTCCGGCCAAATCCCTATTTTTGATTTAAACTCTAAAGTGAAATAAAGTCGTGAAAAGGCGGGGGAGGTTGGTGAAACGAGATGAAAATCACAACAAAAGGGTGTTTTCTAAGAAGCTATTGACAAGACTTTGGAGCTTAATTGCTTTTGACATTGATCTGTCATTCGTTGGCATAATACCTTCTGTAGGTCTAGCATAATTATCCCCCGTCTCTAAAAGGGAAGCAAAGAAATTACTTACATTATTTTAATCTTCAAATGGCAGTGCGGATTTGTGGTAAGCAACGACTCGTGCAACTGGACCATTTATTATGGAATCCCTAATTATTTCTAAGACGAAAAAATGGTAAACAAGATAAGATATACGTGTAACAAAAACATTCACATATAAAAAAAATCATGAGAGGCTTACATACAAGGAAATGTTTTAATCTCAAATAATCATACACGGTCTTTCAATATTAAAAGCAAAAGGTTGTAAAGATCACCAAGGCTGACATAACTCACTGATAGCTTATGTCTTGGGAATCCCGGATAAATTATTGATCATTTGTAAACATTGAACAACAGAAGTAGACGCATCTACGAAGGACGAAGAAGATAATAGTGTATTGTCAGTAACGAAAGACAGTAAATTCTCATAGTTTCCTTCTAACAGTTGTGCCTTTTAATACTCGTTTGCGTTTGGTGTTGGTGAAATGCAATCTTTTCCTAAACTGTAAAAAAATGTGGACCATTAAGCGATCTACACACAATGCTTTAATGACTTTATTGATACAATAATAAGATATGTATAATTATATATACCCGCACGAAAATGCAGTAGTATCGAAGTAGCAAAGAAGCATTAACGCAGTAGTGGTGTGGAGCATATTTGCAGTAGAAATGCAGCATAGCCTACTGCAATTCTACTCCAAAAAGTACATAGGTTTGTACAGAGAGGAGCATTAATGCAGTAGATTAGCAGCATGATAGAAGCATGTTTCAAATATGCTAATTAGCTCCCAAATCGAAGCAGATTTGAAGCATGTTTGCAGTATGATTGCAGTAGTCTACTGCGCTGGAGTATCTACTGCGTTTTCCAGCTATAGCTACCATAACCAAACAGGATAGGGATGAAATATCATTATGCACTGGTTTTTTTCTTATCTTTAATCAACTTTTGAAAAATATGTATGCCGTCAACTTTCAATACTATTAGATGTAAATTCAGAAATACAGAAAAGGCAAACGATGCCATCACCTCAAAACCACCCAAAGGTATCACATTCAGTTAGTTTTCAGTTCATTTCCCCCACTATCGACTCTTTGACATTTCCTTATACTACAAACAGAAAAAAATAACCAAGACACACCATGGCACATCACGAAATGAGCTCAGATAACAAAACAATTACGAACGATGTCCATGTAGAGCCAACAGGACTATTGATCAATTATCTTTTACGCGTGTTAACCCCAACAAATCTGCAGCACTATGAACACCTTACTAAGAATATTGAACAAAGACAGACACCCTTTGGAACGAGATACAGTTTTGTGAAAATTTCCGCTAAATAACATGGCCAAAATTGAAGACTCGATCACGTTCGAAAACAGATAAATCATATATAAGGGTCCTCACCATTTTCTCTAGGCGTTGTCTGTTACCTGTCGTAAAAGATGCGAATAAAAAGGACGCAATTATATTTTTCATAAAAAAGCACGATAGTCTTAAAGGTATGGTGTTTGTTGCTTGAATGACAGAAGGCTCTTCAACTATGCACACACAACGAGAGCCATGAACACGAATACCAACAAATACAATAGAACTTTATAATAGATTACTCTCAATTTATAAGTATTCAAGTAATTATACGGTTGAGCGTAGAAATATGTTTAGACCATGAATACGTCATAATGAGATACATATACACATGAGTTCCAATTTTTGAAAATGTATTAGCGAAAAGAAACGCGATTTTCACCTGTGCCCCTCACCAAGAAGTTTCCCTGAAGAAAGATCATTTTCTTGTCAGTTGCGAAAGTAATAATGATAATGCGTATCCAGCCATAGCGCTTACGTTCCCACCCACACTCCCAAGTTCAATCGCTTGAAAGCTTGAAAATTGGTTCTTGCAAAAATTGATATTTTCCGTCTGACATAAATCGTGGTTTAAAAGAAGCTAAAAACAATGAGACTGACACATTGAGATACATCGAGTATCATGCAGCTTGGTTAGAGCCTGCTTATAAGAAACATATCATCAAGCTTAATCTTAACAAGGCAATAATGATAAGTTAAACGTAATCTACAAGGCAAGTTGCCTGAACTTGGAGGCGGTAATCACTCATTTTCATAATGTCCTTTTTTATCTTGAAAAATTGCCCTTTTAATCCATAAAGGGCTTAATTGATTAAAAGATTCACGGTACGTTGCACGCAAATAACTTAAGTAGACCCCAGAGTCAAGATTATACAATTTATGGTCCCTATCTGCGTGAGAATTGGAATCAATATGTCATTTTACACCTGCAGATCTGTCGCAATGCAATTTGTACCTATTTTCATTATCTTCGACGCGAAATAAATCATGAGTAAGCATCAATGTGAGAAACAGTTATTTTTTCCTCGGTTTTCTTACTGCCCGCTTTGAGTGATGTTGTCGTATTAGTTGAAGTTGCTCAGATTTTACAGCTACGTGTCATTTGGGAATTGTTGTGGCGGTGCATGGCATAACCGCTTAACCTCAATCAGTCTGTTGATCTATCTACATATCTGCAGCTTGGTTATTGACAGCAATATCGACGTACTAGTAATTCACAACGTACTGATTTTCAAATTGCATCAGGTGTACTTTAACATGGAGATTATCTAATGCAATTTTTTTTCTATCAAACGCTTTTCTTGGAGTTGAAAATAATTGAAAATTCGCCAAGCCTAAAACCAAAAAGTAATCAATATCCATATGTTCAAGTGAGGCACAGGACGTAATTTTGTGTACGGATAAACACATTGCTTTTTAAATTTACATTTCCGAGAAAGAGTTTGTTTTCCGGGATAGACACAATATTAACAAAGAGAATATTTATTTGTCCTTATTCTTTCGTTCCTCACAGTCTTAATTTCTAGACCGTGTGCATTATCAACACCGGACAGCTAGGGCTATTTCACTTTTTAGATCCACCTTGCAGTTAATTCATTTTATGTAAACCAGCTAAACAACTGCAGTCAGCAGCACTGATATTTTTTACTTCATATCAACCAATAATGAAGATTCCTCAACAAGCGATAATATCATTTATTGATACACAAAAAAGTCATCATCATCTTTGAGAATCATACTCGCCAAAGAAAATCCAAGAGTGAGCTTGTCTTGATTGTTGTCAAGAGGAGAGACCTCTAGTGACTGCTAGGTTACAAAGTTCTATAAGTTATTTGTCTGTGAAGTGGAGGACGCGCGAAGGAGGTGCCCGGGTAAGTGTCTGGCAGCCAGTTGCTTAAGGTCTTTTTTCTTATAATTTCATTTGAAGTTAGTCAAATCATAGATCGAAGACATTTTTTTATAAAAATCAGCTAAAAGACGTTTTAAAACGCTTTATAACTGCATGCATGTCCAAAACCGCACTTCAAACTATTTGACGAATTCAGAAATAATCTTAATGATGAAAACTAACGTGAATCACTAGTTGTGCCATATTCGGCATGAAAATTAAAACTAAAAGGTGCACATGTTTATTTATTTATTTATTTATTTATTTATTTATTTATTTATTATCATTTTTTTGATAGCTTCATCTTATCTTTATTGATACTGTGGGCCTTATCAATTTGATCGAATATAGGTTGTGTACTTTAATAGCTACATTTTGAATCTGTTGGGTTAAAGACAAGATAGGTATCAGTAAATTTGAGATTAACAAAATATCTCTCAAAGTAAAATCTCTTTCATAGGTCAGTCCGCATTTGTTGTCACAAACTTTGATTTGGCATCGATTTCCAATTGTTGTTGTTAGGGCGTTTGTTTTAATCGTAATATTGAATTATACATCGAAACGGAATAATTGTGCCTAGTATGACCCTCTTCCATCGATATAAAATTGATTATAGACATTTTGTCAAGAGTAGCGTACATACGTCGTTCTTTGGTGGTTTTGTTTGTGAGCATTGGTTTTGAAATAAATAGTCATTCACTATAACAGATTTGGGTCCTCTATCATCAAAATAAACCTGTTTACTTACAAGTTTAAGCGATGTTGGTAATCGGAGTCCATTTTTATATATTGTAGTTAAATCCATCAGTGGTAAAGTGACATTCGTTCCTCAGAATGCCACCAGCAGGGGCGGAAGCTTGGGCAGTCCGGTCCAAGGTCCGAGATGACCACCTTGACCACTCAAACCCGTACTTCAAGAGAAACGCATCAACCTCAAACGTGTCACCATACTTGGAATGTCGCGTTACTCCGCGCAAAGAACCAGGCATCCACACGTACTACGATAAAACGAAAACATTCAGTGGAAGCTACAGCAAAGACGACTGGGACGTAAGACCTCAGAGTCGACAAGAAAAAAAGGTGGATACATACATTCGTCGCAATGCTAGCACAAATGCAATACACCCTAAGGGATTGCACAGCAGCTTTGAAGAGCCTCCAGACACCATGTACCTCGAAGAACATGATTATGTGGAAGAGACCCCAAGTCAGGAATCCAGTGAGCGGTGGGCGTGGACCCCTCGTACTAAAACCCGAGATGAGAAGTTGTACGAAAGTTTTAAAAAAAGAGGGATAAGTACTAGTAACATATCGCCCCAACTGGCCACCCAGCAGACATCACGACAGCGTGAGACCGAGGACTATCATGAGTACACCAGAGAACGACCACGCAGCAGTCAAGAGGCCCACAGGAGAAGTCACACGACTGGGGATTTGGACACGAAACTTGGGGCGTCTACGATGAACTATTCCTACCCTGCAGATTACCCTATTCAGCCGCGAGTAGTACGACCACAAGGCGAAAAAATTGCAACCCTGAGTAAAGGTGGGCGAATGGAAGATTACATCGGAACCAAATCTGAGCACCTATCATACCCCAAGGACTACCCCATTCATCCTCGTGTTGTCAAACCAGAAGCTAGAGAGATAGCAGAACTAAGCAAAGGGAAGCGTATGAAGAGGCTCATTCACGAATACGGTCACCTGACCCCTTCACCAAGGCCCGTGCCACGAATAAAACCAGAGGCAGAAGACATCGCTGAAGGGCATCGCGGAAAGCCAGTGGCTATGCTGCTTGGTTCCTACGGGAAGCTGGGACCACCAACCAGGCGCGTGCAAAGGATCAAACCCGAGGCCAGGCAGGCTTACGAACCCCACCGTGGAAAACGAATGGCGCGAATTATCAAGCAACAGCGGACAGGGCGCTCGGCCAGGTCGGATAGCTCGATGAACAACCTGCGTCTTGATCTGGAAAAACTTAACACCAGAGATGATTATGAAGATCCGTTCAGTTCAAACAAGCGTCCAAAAAGTAGAGATGATACGCGTTCTGAAAGTTTCCACAGAAGAAATAACACGACGTGGTGGTGAAAAAAATTCGCACCAGTTTTTAGAATTTTACCCGAAAGAATGACCATTTCAATTTGGAAAAAAAAGTTCATATTGCCTATTAAATTTTGGACTCTTGGGTCTTAATAACTGCGTAAAATACTAAATGTCGCAGTTGCTGATACGATCTCAATATTCTGAAAATAAAATTGAACTTTTGCAAAAGTGCCCATCTTTCAATAAGTTACGCTCACCTTTAAATATATATCTTGGTTTGATTCGTATTAAATGACCGGTCACACACACAAATTTACAAACGCTTGCAGGCGGATCTCCTAACAGTTATTTCTACGATGATAGAGTTAAGTAAGTTGATTATTATCACTTATTCGTGCAGAAACCAATCCTTTTTCTAAATACTAAGGTTGAATAATTTGGTTTAGAAAAATACCTTTTCCATAATAAATATATACAGAATGAATAAAACGCAACTACGGCTGAGTGTATAAAAAACTCGGATCTTTTTATTTTTATTTCTTCTAATAAGCGCTCCTTACCTTATGATACTCAAAATAAACAGATATATTGGAGTTGTTATAAACATAAAAAGGACGACTTACAATAGCAATCGACAGCGGAAAACTTAATTCATAGAATCGACGGAGAAAGTTAGCTCTGGGTATCCATGCTCTTTGTAAGCAGTTTTTTTTTGTAAATTCTGTAAATATGCTCATATCAAGCGATATGATAATTGGAAACCGAGTGGGGTTTACGAGTGTACACAATATAGTCCCATTAACCAAAGCGTTGTGAGACGTGCACAGCCTCTTCTCTAACACATTTTATAAACGGTGGACAGATGGTTCATTTCGTTGATTGCAGTAATCTTGGGCAAGAAGCCACCGTGATGCGGTACAGAAGACGGATGACTATCATCTGGCAAAGGGGCCTGTCTTAAATAAGATCAGTGGGTACATGAGAAATGGGTTCTATATAGTTTGGTGGATTACAGGGTAGTCAGGAATGCAACGCATAAAGAAATAAAGAAACAAAAACAAACAAACAAACTAATAAATAAATAAATAAATAAATATAAGTTGCACTGGGCCCTTACAATAATCATGACAATTTTTTTCTAAATATTATTATCTTACACACTCTTTAATTTTCTCCTCGCCTCATGATATGTCATGAAATCGAACACTGTTTTATCTCTGTTCTGAAGAGAGGTGAATTTCATTACCCCTACCCCTACTCCTGTCTTTCCTCCTTCACAGATTCCTCTGTTTTCACCCCCTTAGTTTCCAATCATGAATTTTCACTTATAAATTATCGCATGCGTTTTCGTGTGCCTATAACATAAATGTACAGGTACATAGCCGACATGGGTTTGTAAACTTCACCTTATACTTTTATGACTTCAGATAATGAGACGAGTGGTGTATTTATCGACATAACGCTTAACTACTTCATCTATATTCTGTGCAGTAAGCATATCAAGTAGTTCATTCTATATGTTGTAAAACTCTCTTGACAATTCAGGGTTGAAGCCATTTTGGAAATTATTATCGATCGGCATGAAGCGAAAAACGAATGAGAGTGGTAAAAATGGACGTCACAGTCCTTTACGTTCTGTCTTTGTGTACTGTCATTTTTACTGTTTTACACGAGGAGCTGTGTTCCGCGACGCTAACCAATTCTACAAAAGGTAAGTATTAGATACTTGGGCAAATTTCTTGCTCATTTTGGCAATATATTGCCATGATTGAGGTTTCATATGACGCCACCTGATTCGGACGGTTGCCAAATGTGCCTTAGGTTTGCTTTAAGACGTAGTAACATAAACAAAACAATTACTCTTTATAAAAAATTGGTAATATTTAATTGCATTAAGCACATTAAAAAGTTTATGACCTAGAGGCAATTGATAAAATGAGGTAAGTATCGAGACGTACTTAAATATTCATGAGCAAGGTCAACAACTAATGGCACACGTATATATGCTTTATTTACAACTCAAAACCTGTAATTTTGGTATTTAAATTTGCTTTGCTGAAACGAATTTTTTAATTAAATTAAATAGCTAGAAATATTATTTCTTAGACAACGACATCATGAGATCAGGCAATGACACCTTGCTGACAACCAACATCACCTCAGAGAACAGTACGGTCTTCTTTCCAGTCTCTAGCTTACCTTCCACTTCGAATTTGACAGAAACCACACCACACTTGAATGAAAGTACAGGTGATGTTTGTTATTGTGTTTTTGAGAAGAGATATAATATTTTTTTTAAGTAAGAAGCGTTATCTATTTTGTAGCACTTATTTTTACTTGTTATATCTGTGGTCAACACAAAGGAATCATGTTTAAACACACACACACACAAACACACACACACACACTGTCACACACACACACACACACACACACACACACACTCATATATATTCTGAATTTATGGTTATAGAGAATTTTAATTGCTATGTAGATTAGAGATAAGACCTCAGCAAGTTGAGTTACCAGTCTCACCTGTCCCAAAACTTTATTGGGCTCTTAAACCCTCTGTTGGATCACACATAAAAAATGTCAAATACAGTTTTTTACCCATTTTTATAGTTATTAAATAGTTAAAGGGCTGTATTGATCAGTACTAGCGCTCCATTAAATCCAAATTGCATTGAAACCCAAGACGCCATTATGCCATTACGGTTTTGGTAAAACACGCGTTTTAGAAATATAAATCTATGAATAACATGTAACCCTCTTTATTATAATCATGTGTATATAGTAGTCATGGTTTTATGATTACATGCCCAGATATTTAACCTGATATTCAATGCTTATTTTTGATCAGTTACTGACAGGAGTCTTGATCTGACTTGAACTTTATTTAGCCCAGATTTAGTCCCATTATCTGAAACTATATTGTATATACTGTATTAAGGGTAATTTTTGGTAATGTTCCTCCTGTGGTATACAGGCTATGTATGCTTACATGTATGAACGATTATCACTTTAAAATCACCCCCCCCCCCCCACACA